TGTGTGTGTGTGTGTGTGTGTGTGTGTGTGTGTGTGTTTGTGCATTGTTTGTAGGTGATTGCGTGCGTATTTCGTGCATTTTTCAATACCCACATGCACGTGCAGGTACAGCACCTTGCTATGCTAATCAGTTCTCCCTCTTTCCTCTGTGGGCAGCAGCCACTTCATTATTTACACCAGTTACATCATTAATATGAAAAACTCCATTGCCAATTTGCTCCCTCTGCAATATATGGGCCTGAACTGATTCCAGTGTTTGTGTTTCTCCATTCTGTTTCATCTGTGTTGTGTAGAATGGAAGTGTTGTCAGACTCGGCTCTGGAGAGAATCTTATTCTGGAGGAATGACAGGCCTCTGGTTTAACTGTTTAATCAGCTGGCTACTGGAGACGTGTTGTACTTTGTTTAGTTTGTATTATGTGAATTTTTGGGTTGCAGAGTTTTGGCTGAGTGGAGCAGTGTCTCTAGATTTTAATTGCTTTCTGGTATTTGTAGATAACTGGATTATTATTAGATAACTAATGCTGAGGTTTTTGATTGTGAATTTGTCTACAGCAGTTCAGCTTGTCAGTTTGTCTTAGCAGCTAAAGAGCCTGATTTTCCTTCAGGAGTAAAAGTAGGACTGACGACAGGATTAACATGCATGAGAAGGCCAGAACTCCAAATGTATGATTATGTTTTCTTTTATATGCTGGATGAGTAAATGTGTAACTGCTGGGTAGTACTGTCACTGTAACACCTTTATTAGGTGATAATATATCAGAGCTGTTCCCATTTTGTTCCTCTGCTGCCAAGTAGCAGAATAAATACATAAAGTAATTCATTAAATGGTGCATTACTATCGTTTATGGATTTCTCTAGAGCTTCTCGCTTCTCCCTAAACTGTTCCATCAATCCCAGGTCAGACTCAATCTTTCACCCGACGGCGTGTGGAGCGTTTGCCCACAGGAACAGTGTAATATGGGAATGATTGCAGATTTTATCAGCGCAGGGCTGCTCTTCTTCATTATGTTCGTCTTCATAAAAGCTGGCTGGCTATAAACTCTGCCAGTCTGATAACTTGTTAGTGGTAAAAGCCCTTTCTCATCTTGTGCTCATAAAGCCACGACCAGACTGAGAAGAGGTATCGTAAGATCGGTTCTCTCCAATGCGCAAATTGGTTTGTAATTTTAAAGCTGATCTAAAATTTCTATATATTATTTCTATTTCTATATTTCTTAATAAAGCACTTTGTGGCTATCCACAAACAAGTCTTGTATTCTTGTATCAATCTGTTCCAATGATTCTGATGCTTCTCAGTTGTTCCTCTTGTGTTTTTTTACGGGCAGTTGGCCACAGTTGTTCCTATATTACATCTGATGGTGTAAACAGCATAAATTGCAAGGTAGCAGGTTGTTTCTGTAGTTTTCTGCAATGTTGTGCAGCTTTTGAAGGGGCCATCAAATCCCTCAACCGTTCCAGTCTCTGACTATTTCTGTATTGTGTATTTCCAAGTTTCTGCTGAGGAAAGAAGTGAGAATACTGAGAATACTAAGAAAGGCAGCAGTAGCTGTGGTTGGACAGGCTTCAAAAACATCCATGACATCAAAATGGCGACAGCTGCCCGTCTTCTGCTCCAGGAGGGTTTGGAGTCCAAGACAGAGGAGCCCCTAAAGCTCCTTGTTGGCCCAACTGGAAGCTTGACTCAAACCCACCCACCCACCAACTCGAAGCGTAGCCCATTTATGTACTTACCCACTTCTTCAACCTGGTTCTGGACAAGCAGAAATAAAAGGGTGTGGACAAGGGATTGATGGAGAATCCCTTATTAACCAATTACAGGAAATGGTGCTTTCCATGGTGCTGAACTTCAATGGTGTGTCATTTTGTGTTCGACATTTATTATATTAGATTTTATCAGGATTTTACTATTTAATATGTGCATCTTTACAGAATATTACTGATGGTTA